CGAGATATATTGTGCAGACATAGAAGACAACAGAAAATGGGGATGGATAGTTTCCCGACATAAGCGTTTATTAGACCATCTACAAGCACCCTATCACCATTATTAGGGTGTATCCCATATTTTTCTTTATTATGATGTTCACCCTATACAAGGCCAATGAACCAGTCGTGGTAGAAAATTACAGAGTAATCGGCACCACACCAAGCAAGGAGATAATGCCACAAAGACGCAAGTGGCTACGGGACGTGAATGAGAGGAAAAAAGCTTTATAAGGAAGAGGAAGAGGAAAGCCAAACGGGAAATATGATACAAACCTCTACGCCTGTTCAAAAACTGGGGAGGTGTGTGAACCGGATGATAGGCGAACCTATCTACTCCTAAAGGCATCAAATCTATCTATCTATCTATCTATCTATCTATCTATCTATCTATCTATCTATCTATCTATTTCTGTATATATACTGTTTCTCTCTGCTGAATGATAGCTCACTGGTAGAAACTCTGATTGACACCAAATTGGTCGGGTTTCGGTCCTGGCTTGAAGCATTCGGATGTCTAGTTCCACCGAGGAGCTGTGATAGAGCGAAACAGTACTGTCTGCGAATGACATAATTAAGCTCTTGAAAAATATATTTCAATTGAGCACTGTTGAGAGATAAGCTGATTCTATAAACAACAGCCACCTACGCTAATGCAAAGCTCTTCAGTAAAATGAATTGGAGCACTCCGGCTGATTGGCGTTTGTTTAAATTTGTAAAAACAATACACTAGATTTAGCTGTTTCTCTCTGCTGAATGATGATAGCTCAGTGGTAGAAACTCTAACTTACACCAAATTAGTCGGGTTTCGGTCCTGGCTTGAAGCATTTCTTTTTGCACTGAAGTGATACAGCAAAACAGTACTCTGAATGATATATATATATATATATATATATATATATATATATGCGAAATTCAAAATAATAAATATCAATATATATGGCCTACATATATCTATAAAAAATATCTATCTTTCTAAAGATACATACATATATATATATATATATATTTATGATATATATATATATATATATTTATGAATAAAAAAGACAATAGGAAAACTGATTTATAATTTTCGTCCAATGTGGACTTTATCAAAGCAAAATACGAAAATGAAATGCAAAGCTCTTCAGTAAAAGCAAAAACAGAATGTACCCTCTTACTGATTATTCGTTTGTTTAAATTAAATCGGAGAATTTTCATATATATATATAATATATACATATAGATATTATATATATATTATATATATATGGATAGATGAATGATCTATCTATCTATCTGTATATATATATACATATATATATATATATACTCTTTACTTGAATTGAGCTCTCCTAGCTATGACGTCTTTCGTATAGTAAAAACATTAAATTTTCCCATCCGCTCTGTCGTGCGACGATAGCTTTGGGTAAAATGCTAAATCGGTCGGCTTTCAATCCCGGCTATAAGCAATCGTGTGTCTGGACACACTGGTGAGCTGCGATACAGCGAAACAGTCTGTCTATGGATGACTATATATGTATATATACATGCGTGTGTTTCTCTCTGTGTGTCGATATTAGTTTATATTTCTGGATATTATAATATGCATGTATCGACACATACACAAAGTATTTGCTTTTAAAAATGGTGTTCTGTTCTAATGTAAGAGAGCAAAAAGTTTCACCAGTCTGTTTTGTGGCAGAGAAACAAACGCCTCTCGCTTATGGCCAGTTATGGAAACTGTGTTTATCATTTATAAATACAAAAGTGAAAGTTAATAATGTTAATAATGTAAGAATGAGAGTAAACGTGTAGTAGGAAGTAGCAGAGATAGAGAGAGAGAAAAAAAGAAAGAAAGAAAATCAGAGAAGGAGACAGAGGAAAAAAGAGAGATAAGGAAAATGACACTGAAGATTCCTGCATATATATGTGCCTATATATGTAAGAAATAATAAAAAAAACAAAAAGAGAAATAGAGGCTAGATGGTGGGAGGGAGAGAGAGGATATACCAGAGAGAATTAAAAAACAGAAAAGAGAGAGCAAGAAGAAGAAGAAGAAGAAGAAGAAGAAGAAGAAGGATACAGTGAGACGACGAGGAGGGAGAAGTATCAAAGGGATGGAAAAACAGGAAGATAGCAATACATTGTGTAGAAGAGAGGAAAATTGATTGAAAAAGACAAGAGAGAGAGAGAGTGTGTGTGAGAGAGAGGGAGAGAGAGACAATACGAGGAGGAGGAGGAAGTGGCGGATATTCCAGAGAGAATGAAAAATAGGAAGATACAAATATATCGTGTAGAAGAGAGGAAAATTGACTAGAAAAGAGAGAGCGGGGAAAGAGAAGAAGAAGAAGAAGAAGAAGAAGAAGAAGAAGAAGAAGAAGAAGAAAAGGAGGAGGATCCAGTGAGACAACGAGGAGGGGGATGTATAAAAGGGATGAAAAAACAGGAAGAAAATCATGTAAAAAGAAGAAAATTGATTAGAAAAAAACAAGAGAGAGATCAGTAGAAGTGTGTGTGTGTGTGTGTGTGTGAGAGAGAAATTGATTGGAGAAAAGACAAGAAAGAGAGAAAACAAAAGGAGAGGAAGTGGTGCATGTTCCAGAGAGAATGAAATGAAATATATCGTGTGTGTGAGGAAAATTGACTGGAAAAAGACAAGAAAGAGAGAGGGAGAGAGAGAGAGAGAAGAAGAAGAAAAAGAAGGGAAAAAGGAGGAGCAAATGAGAGGAGGAAGAGCAAATGAGAGGAGGAGGAGAAGTATCAAAGGGAATGAAAAAACAGGAAGATAGCAATACATCAGGTAGAAGAGAGGAAAATTGATTGGAAAAGACAAGAAAGAGAGAGAGAGAGAGTGTGTGTGTGTGTGTGTGTGTGTGTGAAGAGAGAGAGAGAGAGAGAGAGAGAAACAAGAGGAGGAGGAGGAGGAGGAATTGGTGGATATTCCAGGGAGAAGGAAAAATAGGAAGATAAAAATACATCGTGTGGAAGGAAGGAAATTTTATTGGAGAACACAGAAGATAGTGAGAGGGAGAGAAAGAGATAATGTGTGAGCGAAGAAGAAGAAGAGGAGGATGAAACAGAGGGAATGCAAAAAACAGAAAGATAGAAGTACATTGTATAGAAGGGTAGAAAATTGATTGGAAAATATAGAAGAGAGAAAGAAAGACAGAGACTGAGAAAGAGAGAGTGAGTGAGAGAGAAGAGAAAGAAGATAGCGTACCAGAGTGAATGTACCGAAAGATTAACCAGAATGAAAAATGCAGTGGGGAGAGAGAGAGAGAGAGAGAGAGAGAGGGGAAGAAGGGGATGATGATGATGTACTAGAGGGAATTAAAAGCAATAAGATACAACTATATCGTGTAGAAGGGAGGAAAATTAATTGGAAAAGATGGAAGTGAGAACGAGAGACAGAGAGTGAAAGAGAGAGAGAGAGAATGAGAGAGAGAAGAAGAAGAAGAAGAAGAAGAAGAAGAAGAAGAAGAAGAAGAAGAGAATGTACCAGATTGGAAAAGGCTGGGAGAGAGAGAGAGAGAGAGTAAAAAGTGAGAGAAAGAGAGATGGGGATATGCGAGAGAAAGAAAAAGAGATCGAAGAATATAAGAGTAGAAAAATAAAGAAAAAGCAAAGATTGAATACAATTTCGAAAGTGTTCAACTTGGTTTTAAATTAATTTTCACCTCACGGTTTCGTTTCACCCTTCATTGGCCACACATAATCGTCAAACGACTCAAAATTCTACTTTCTTTCGTAAGCCTGGCTCACTCTCACTTCGCATATCTCTCTCCCCCTCTTTCTCTCTATGTATATATATCTCTGTCTCTCACTCGTTCTTTACCGAAAACCATCCCAGCGCGCAAAGCGAATGAAATACCCTTTACAACGCAATTCACCAAGCTATTTTCTCACGTCATTAGCTGGCTATTGAAAAAAAAAAAACAAACCTTTTTTTTTTCTCTCCGGACGAAAATTCTGAATTCGGCCTGCATTAGTTGTTCGGATGTAATCATCGGCGCCATGTTGGTTTGCTGGGCATCTCGGGTAATGGTAAGAATATCGCTCGGATAATCAGAGTCTTTAGTTTCGTTCTTTGGGCAAATTTGACGAGGAAGCAAAAAGGGGACGCTTGGAAAAAAAAAGAAAAAAAAGAAGAAAAAAAATGGAGGAAATCCGGCTAGTAGAATGTGGCGAACGATTATTAATTTACAAATAAATTCTTCTTTTGAGAATGAAGCGAATAAAAAAAAGTCGGCTTTCAGATTTTTTATGTAATTATTGTTGCTGCAATTATTTTGAAGAATCTCTATTTGATTATGTGAGTACTTTTTCTTAATTTTCAAGATGGCGGCTGGATCGCCTGTTTTGAAATGGAGCAAATGAAAGAAGAATGCTAATATATTATTCATATATATATATATATATATATATATATATATATATATATATAATATATATACACAAACACACATATATATATACATACAAAAGTATATATTTTAAAACATTTTTTATGTTTATACGTTCTTTTTATAGATACAAATATTTAAGTAAATGCTCTGTTTATAATAAACAGTATTAACAACATTTACCGGCCTGAATGTCCGGGAAATTTTCATAGAAAATATGCGTCCTTCGACAGGAATCGAACCATATCCTATACGGAACCGTCATAAAGCCTGACGTGCTTTTACCGATTGAGCTACAGAGGAGCGTTTGGGTTAGCAAAAGTCAATTTTATTGTTTTTAAACAACAATTCTCCATGATTTTCTCTCATAAATTCATATCTGCTCGATGCGTATCCAAATGTAAACAAATATAATATATAAACATAAAAATTGTCTTAAAATAATTGCCGGGCTTTGTCCATTTGTGTGACGTCATATATGATATATATATATATATATATATATATATATATATATATTATATATATATATATCATTATTCTTATTTAAAGGACAATATATCGGTATAAAATTTATATATATATATATATATATATATATATATATATATATATATATATATATGCATATTAAGTCTGTTAGCGACGAAATTCGACATTAATTGCATTAATATTACTAATTGATTCAATGTACGAATATCTCTTTATAATATAAAATATATGCTGCCTAATATAATACGTTCATTAAAACTATTGATCTGCAGTACGAAATTCCGGAAAAAAAGCCCCCAAAACTACTAAGACATATCACTCTATTTATTGAACTATGTACTTAGTTCATGTCACGTTAACTGGAAAACACATACAATAAAATAATTCTTGGATTTACCACATTACACAATTCATATAAAAAATTCTCACTTGAAATATTTGAACTTTAGCATTGCGACTTGCACGTTCCAATATTATATAACCGTTAATAAATAACACATTCTCATAAAAACATCTTTCGGTCTAAAATACATTTATTTTGTCTCGGAGTTTTATTTTTAATGGAAAAAATTACAGCCTGATGATGAGAATATGAAGTTTTCGAAAGTACTTTCTGCTCTAAAAATACACCAGATCCAACTGACAACAACATTTTTTACATAAGGATCGCATCATTTAGTGGATTGTTAGTAGGTTAATGCTTATATTAAGTCTGTTAGCGAAGAGATTTCGTCATTAATTGCATTAATATTGCTAATTGATTCAATGTATCATTATCTCTTATATATATATATATATATATATATATATATATATATATATATATATATATATATATATATATATATATATAAGCAAATATATGGATATAGATCCGACAGTATGAAGAAAAATATACTGAAAAAAACAAACAAAATCCTAATATGCGATTATGCTGTTTTAATGGTTAATGTCAACGTCGGCGTTTCAGTCTAATAGACCATCTTCAGGACATATTCATAAAACATAATTAACATAGACCATATACAATTCAACATGAAAAAGACGATGGACATAAAAGCAATACCAATCCAAACAGATAACTGAAATCTTTTATAAGATCAGTGTTCCGTTTAAATATGATCACGTCGTCGTTTCATTTTTCATTCAAAATACTCAAATTTTAGGAATACCTTTTCACAACATCGCCCACGTGACGACGACATGATCATATCATATAAATCGTTAGATAGATAGATAAATAGATAGATAGAGAGAGAGAGAGAGAGAGAGGTAGAAAGAGAAAGATATATAGATTGTTTCTGTCTATCTACATCTCTTTCTCTTTCTCTCTCTCTATCTATGTATCAATCTACATCTCTCTCTTTCTCTCTCTCTACATCTCTTTCACTTTCTCTCTTAGTCTTAGATGAAAGAGTGAAAGAACGAGAGAGAGAGAGAGAGAGAGGGGAGGAGGGAGGGAGAGAGAGAGTTAAAATGAGAACTTTATTACTTACTAACAATAAAATCTCGAGTATGACAATGACACTTTCAGTAAATCAAAAACATTTTAATAAAAGATTGAACCCCCCCACCCAAAACAAAAGACAAAAAAGAAATCAATGTAAATTCTTCATTAATATTTACTGCAAATCTCCGAACCAAAATGATTTTTAACGAAGTTCAGCCTTCTCCATTTTATTGACCAAATCTAATCTAAATTAAAAAAAAAGACCCCTCCCCCAAAAAAAAAATATTGATAACACGTAAGGCAAAATCTTCGACGAAATTCATAAGCTGTATATTTGGAGACTACATCATTTCTTGTGTAATCTAATAGATGCCAAACACATTTTAATTAAGTTCTCATAAACTTTATCTGAGATTTGCTCAAAAATCCAAGGTTTTCTGATGCATGCAAAAATATATCGCGTGGAAATCAGGAGAATTTGACAGCTTCGAAAAAGGAAGTCGATGTCAATACAACTAGAAAAGGTGAAATACGTTATTGTTATCTTTATTTGGGGACTGTTATACAATGATCAGCCAAAAAGTAATGCCGTTTTCTAATTTAATTTTCGAAGCATTAGTTTAGGGCCTTTTCGTTTTAGCAATAAACTGTAAATCAACATTCCCAACCTTTTTTGCATTATGGCCCACTTTCACATATGACCACCCGCATATTAAATATTCAAAAGCGTACCGAAATTGTTTGGTAAATGTTTGTTACTAGTTCATAGACTGACTTTATGATGTAGTAAAAAATAACAAAGGGAGGTAACAAAAAACGCAGTTGCTGTGGCTGTTACTACCGTATTAAAGAACAAACTAAAGCAAACTTGACAATTGAAAACTCTATATATATATTTCAGTTTTATGGTAGGAGTTAATTGTTGACAAGAAATTAAACGAATTTTGTTCAATAATTCTGAAATTAAAAAGATATACACAATTAAAAACTAATAAAAATTCAGCAAATAATTTTGGTTGTTCTTGGTTTTCACTTTTTTAATCATTTCACCCTAGCAAGGCTGGAATGCCACTAGAACGCAGGGGATTACAAAGAGTGAGAGAAAAGACTGGGCATAGGAGGTCCCGAGGAAGGGCATAAAAGCTGAACTGGTTTCAAGAAGACAGAAGATGGCGATTGACTTAGCCTTTAAATTTTTGAAGATTGTAGTTATCAGGGAAGCAAGAAAACGAAAGGGAGTTCCACGGGAGGGAAGTGCGAGAAAAGAAACTGTTGGAGTAGAAGAGGCGGTCACATTTAATTCAACAGTAAAAGGGCGAGATCTAGATGCCAATCTAGTAACACATTAAAATTCACATAGTCCGGGTACCCAGGAGAAAAAGCTCATCAGAGCAGTAGCCATTAAAATATTTGTAGAAAAGACAGAAGAATGCCAAGTCAAAACCAATTACATTGCAGATACCTCTATGGATTTTGTCAAGAACCTTGTGGTGAGAAGTAGAAGCACCTAGCAAGTCTCTTATCTGATTTGTATCCGAAAAAATGGTATTTCGTTTGAAGAACTACTTGAATGTTTATGAACTTTCTTTAAATTATAGAAGATATCAAAATATTCCTTGTTTGTGGTGGAATTTATATCTTATCTAAGAGTGCGACCAAGTTATTCACTTTTAGACTCCTGTTATTTTTTTTTTTAATATATACAGGTTCTTTATATATTTCCTTTCAATATTTTGGGAGGTAGGATATGTTGAAATAGCCTTTTAATACACTAAACCCTATATCATTCGCCAAAATGTTCAATCGCCTACCATTTTCAGTTCAATTGGATTTTGCCCACCCAACAGCTGAAATCGCCACGGTCAACTATCTAGGTACTGACTATGCTCGACGTTGCTTAACTTCGTTGATCGTACGAAAACAGGTGCTTCATCGCTATATGGCCATACGCTCACTGCTGTAAAGGAGTTTTCATATTATATGACAGTTCAATACACATTTATGGTTTCTAACGACATTTTCATGTCTTTATACATTGTTTAGTTTCTGGAAGACATAATACGCTATATGGATACGTTGTAATAAATATGGCGACAAAGATGAGTACAATAGTCCGAATAATGTAAATAGTGTACATAATACCTCATCTCAGAAATATAGACAGATACTGAAGAAGGCCGAAGCGTGCAACGGCCGAAACGGTGTAATAAATATGGCGACAAAGATGAGGACAATAGTCCGAATAATGTAAATAGTGTACATAATACCACATCTGGGAAATATAGACATATTGTGAAGAAGGCCGAATGTACAATGGCCGAAACGTTGTAATAAATATGGCGACAAAGATGAGGACAATAGTTCGAATAATGTAAATAGCGTTCGTTGTTATTTGATATGTAGAGTATTTTTCTCATTGATAAAGTGTATCAAATTTTCCAAGTATTTGTTCTCTATAAGCTGTTCGATGTTTTTGGGCAGCACGAGTTTTAATTATATTCTTATAGAAAAATCTATTCTCATTAGTCAGTTTTCGAGATAAGCTGTTGGTAAAGAACTAAATTATCCAACATTAAACATAAAAAAAAAAAAAATAAATCAAATGAAATAAAATAAAAAAAAATAAATCAAATGAAATAAAATAAAATAAAAAAAAATACTAAAGGACCAATCGAAATAATTTGAACAGTCTAGCAATTCGAATCAATTTCTAAATAAAGCATCTCTGAGAAAATCTATACAATTATTTCTTAGTTAAAGAATATATACACATTTTG